AATAAGTTTATTTTGAATTTTAATAAACTAAACGTTCACCAAAAAACTTTAGTGAGAAAAATCGGTAGAATTTATAGAATATTGTAAAAATTATGGTCTATTACCAACATATATATATATATATATATATATATATATATATATATATATATATATATATATACTATTTATATTATCATTATAGCTGAGTAATTAAATTTATTATGAATAATAATAATGATAATACAAAATGCAGATATCAATACTGCAGTCAATGACAGAGGAATGAGAGAAGGGAAGAAAATGAACGATGGATGAATGTGATTCTTATATTATCATCATTACCACCATTATTATTATTATTATTACCATTATTATTATTATTATTATTATTATTATACTAAATGTAATTAATAAATAAACTCCATCTAGTCTTTCTCTCTTCATTTTAAAATCTAGAATAAGGTGTGTAAACATTTATAGATATATATATATATATATATATACATTCACCATATATACTTTTATGTGTGTATGTGCGTGTGTATGTATGTATGTGTGTGTGTGTGTTTGTTTTGTATATATCGAAAGTTACTAATAATCCATATAACAAACTGGAAAATGTACATATATAGTATGAATGTAAATGTACATACGTTCGAAAAATATATAGACACACATATATATATATATATATATGTGTGTGTGTGTATGTATGTATATATTAAAATTTTTTCCGCCACCAGACTTGTGTGTGTGTGATTTGATTTATATAGTGAATAGTTGTGACAGTAGTAGTTATGATGGTTAGACGAACGAATTACAGACGAATGGCCATCAAAGAACGATAAATGAATGAATAAATAGATAAGTGGCATTGAAATCAATGAAGAGTATATACATACACACATATACACATACATACAAACATACGTAAAAACATACGTTACTAATACACATACGTACGTACATATACACATACATATACACGTACAAACATACAGACATTGTAATTATAAAAGCATGTACGGCAAAAATATGGAGGCAAGCAATGTCTTTCTCGCGTTCAAACAGGATCACTTGACAAGAGTTCATTTCACGTTTTACATGATAACCGTCTAGAGGTCATCATCGTCATCAGCATCATCAACATTCTAAATTATCATCAACAATTCGCCGCCCCAATCGACATTCGTTTCTCATCACACCAACTCCACATCGTCCCGACCAAAGGTCAAAGGTTAAAAAGGGTCAAACATCAACACCACGAAAAAAATGGAGACCTCACATTGACCTTCTGCAGGTAAGCGTCGTCATCATCAACGCCGTCGTCGTCGTCATCGTCATCATGACCTTCAAAATCTACGTCATCATTATCATGGTGTGTGCCACTAATAGCATCGTTGTTGTGGTAACCGACTGCTTCAACAGCTTCGATAGCTTCTGGCCTAGCAGCTGCGGCATCTGAAGCGCTCGTTGCTGCTGCGTTCTGATTGGCTAGCATTTTCCTTCTCCTGCTATTTCTATTGGCGGTTCTATTTTTAGCTCTGCCAACTCTTGAAAATATACCTCGGCTGTAGACCAATCGCCTTCTTTCTATTACTACCACTGGCATTTGAACCAGTTGAAGTGGTGATTTGCCTGCCAATCATAAAACAGATTAATAGTAATAATTATGATAATTACAGTATTGTATTAGCGAATGATAAAGTTTACCGTCTTTGAGGGCCTGAGTGAGGTTTAGAATCTGCCCCCTCAACACGCTCATCTGCTTGAAGAATGTTTTCTTGTCAAATCCTTTGTCCTCCTGCCATTGGTTAGTTACACGAATAAGTTATTTTCTCATTCTATCATTGGTCCGTTCCGTGAATAAATAAGTCATTCTTTTCATCATTGGTCAGTTTTATGAATAAATTAATAATTAATCATGATGAAACCAAGCCGTTATTGTAGCAAACTAACGCTGAACAGCTCGTAGATATCTTCACAAAGACTTTGCACAAAATTCATATCGGAAAGCAGAGGTAGGAATTGAGTCTTAGTCTCTTCGGAAAATGGAACCCGAGCTATCGGTAGCCAAGCCCAGTTGTATGGATCTGTGGTGATGGGTGATTATTAATTAGCATGTTGTGTATGTGTGTGATTAACATAATTTATTCATGCAGTGTCAGAATGGTGGTTATTTGCGTATTTCATTCATATATGTATGTGTGAGTGAAAAAGCCGTTTTGCATACATTATCGATTTCTTATTAGTATACAATAATTTATTTATTTATTCATTCATAAGCCCCATCCATTCATCCACTAACAAGCTCTCCATTCGTCCGGATGTTTGAATGGGAAGGCTAATCCGTTGTCTATGGCGGCCACTTTGATCTCTGGATCCGTGACAACGTTCCAGTCGTCACCGTCTGCATGATTTTGATTGGCTGATATATCTGGAGAGTCGTACCTTACCAGCCAATTATCATTTCCTCTGTCTGTGTGTTTGTGTATGTGTGAGTGAGAGAGAGAGAGATAGATAGAGAGAAAAGGAGAATAAGTGAATGTGTAAAAGCAATGAACAAGCAATCAAAAATTGACTGATGTATATCATATGCAATCATTCAGTAAACTAACAGACCAACCACTTAACCTATCAACCATTCAATCAACCAATTAGAAATTATCATTCATTCAATCAACCAATTAAAAATGTTTATTCATTCAATCAGTCGATCGATTGATCGATCGCAAAATTACCATGCACCCACCAAACCAACGAACCAGTATTCCTAATTATGTAATCAAGAATGACGAGTCGCTCAAATTGATGTTGAAACTTCATTTTCACACTTTCTGTCAAAGGTTCCTGATCGAACTTTCTAAGCCAGAAATCGGCATCCTTGAAACCGTCAACAAATAACTGCAGAGAACCAGTCTAGAAAAAATTAAGCGCCAAATAAATAATTTGTTATAGAAGAAGAAATGTCTAGTTTATATTAATAACTAATCATCCAAACTAATTATCGTCATCATCTTCATCATCATCACCGTCATCACCATCATCATAATCATGACCTTCAAAGGCAGACCCAGGCGATGAAATTTTTTTCCTAGATGTGGGAATTTTTCATTTAGGTTCGTTTTCGTTTTTGATTTGGCCCTATCTATTGCGCTGTAGTTGAAGGTCTTACTGGCTAACCTGACGACCTGAGTTATGCAAATGATTGGTTAGTTGATTGATCGGTTAGTTGATTGATTAGTTAGTTGATTGATCGGTTGGTTGATTGGCTGCGTGATTGATTTGTCTGTTGAGTAATTGAAAGATTGGTCGTGTCATTGCTGTTTGAATGGAGTTGGCTGAGTGGCTGGCGGGTTTTTTAGTGCATCAGTCATTAGAATTCAACTCTAACTCTAGTTTTAGGCACGATATCCAGCCCCAACTTCCTGTCAACGAGACTGGCGCCCACTTCCGAGAGATATCCCTGATTTAGGATTAGGCAGCCCCGCCCGAAACAACATGGGCAGCACATCTTCTGCATCCATTTCGTCCATTTTGGATTTAGGTGGCCGTATGGCTCTTCGTCTTTTGGTTTGAAGACCCCGACGATTTTCTTGCAGGAAAAAATCGGGAAAATTTTTTAAAATTAGTGATTAGGAAACGAAATAATAAGATAAATGAAAAGTCTATGATGAAATATTACAAACAAAAAAAAAGACTACAAATAATAAAAAACTTACCCCTTGTGAATTCTTGACGAAATAACTCCCACTAGACCCTTGAATAATTCTTTGAGGATAATATCCTTTGTCTATTGCGATTTCTATGTCGTTCAAGATGGCAGTGTATTCCGGATCGTCGGGGAAATAGTTGTGAAAGTTGTGGAGGTCATCTGTTCTGCCTAATAAGGGTGTGTACTCTCCGGCGTCACGATTGTTAGCTGTCGTTGGGTGGTGGTCAGTCGCTATTACTGATTGGTGGGTACAGATGTCAGTTGTGATGGTCAGTGCATGGTGAAGTTGGTTCAGTTGTTGTTGTTGTTGTTGTTGAGGATGTGGATGCTGTTGAAGTTTTTGTTGAGGTTGATGATGATGATGATGATGGTGGTGGTCAACATTTACAATGATATGATTGTTACAGTGATTAGGCTGCTGTTCCTGGCTTTGTTGTTGTCGTTGTTGTGGCATGGTCAATGATGATGATGATGGTTGAGAAGTGGAATGTACTGGGGACAGATTCTTAGCACTAACACCACCATCAGCACCTAAACTGACCAACTGATTGAATGTTGAAGGATTCACTGGAGACACGTTCTCAGTTTCGAGTTCGTTTGTACCAAAATCTATTTTTATAAATTAAAATCTAACCCTAACTTATCGTTGATTTATAATCAAACACTCCGAAATTCAGAGTTTGAATAAATAAATAAACATATAAAAGTAATTTAGGAGCTATAGTAATTAGATTGTCTTTGTTAATTAAATTTCATGATGTGCAACGATAGAATTGTACAAATATAGCATCATGTTACATTCATTACAAGATTGAACTCCTTCTGGTGCTGCAATTTTAAATATTTCACATTTTTTTTAAATGATTTTCATTAATATTTTAAAGATTTTACATATTTTTAATTACTCTTTAAAAATATTTTATTTCATGGACCTGCATGCAAATAATGTTTCAGCATATTTAGTCTGTTTCTCTGGTGTCATATGAATTGTAATAATGATAGCAGATAGACCATTATCATTGACAAGCCTCTACTAGGTTAAGCTCATTGAGTTGGTGCCATGAAAGCTTGTTTAATTTCAACTGTGGGATTGATTATAATTATATCCTTTACTCTTAGATACATATCTTCATAATGCAACTAAACTCTCAGATTTGTAATGGAAGTGAATTCAATATTAAACTCTCTTTTTTGAAATTCTAAAAGAAAGACATGAACACCAAATAATTTTATTTAATTAAAAATTTTAATTCAATTTTAATTTAATTTTAATTTAAAATAGCTTATTTACCCAACCAATGATTGGTGTGAAAATAATGTAGTTGAAAATCACCACTTTTCAAATTTTTACAAACATTCCAACACGCAAGAATAACAAATAGAACAACTAAATTCGGTTTGAAAAAATTCACTAACCGATTAACAAACTTTCAGGGGGTTGGTCAATAACATTACCATCATTCTCATTCTTGCCTGTCTCCATTATGATTATATTATATGACTGATTTTTAAAATGAATTTTTTCACTTTTTAACAAAAAGTTTGTGACGGATAAATGATTCTAAATAGACTTTTTAGTGATTAATGTACTAAATTGTTTATTTAGAAGCTTAAAGCGAACGTTTATTAGAGAGTTTTTTAATATTTATATACAAGTTTAAAAGTAAACTTAAGTCAACTTCATATGATTGAAATTAGCTATAGAGCTTCATTCGTATTTAAAAAAAGGAATTCCTTCAATATTCAAAATTACTAACAAATGTCATACTTTATGAACAAGTTTGTAACATTAATTAAATAAAATTATTTTTTTTTTAAATTCAACCCCAAATGATGTCAAAATGCAAGTTTTCATAAACATATCCACAAGTCACAAATAGATAAATATAACAACAATTTCGACTTTTTGATGAATTTTAATCATATTTTCCAGTAAAAACATTTTAAATAAAATTAATCAAACATGAAAAAATTTATTTTAATGAAATTAGTTCTGTTTTTTAATCGTTTTTTCAACTACAGTCGTTCACAGACATTCGAAAGCCACGAATCCAACTCCCTTGGAAAAGGTAATGGAATAATATTATTATTATTTGTTGAATAATGAATTTGATTATAATAAAAATAACAATTTATAATAAAATAATAATCAAAATTATAGTAATGATTATAATTATAAAAAAATAATTATGAATAATATTGAAATAGCTTGGTATGTTCGGGAAGGCTTTCCAGTTGTCATCAACTGTTTTGCTGGTTTGATTGACGAACCAGGTTGATATATTCATTCATTCGCTCGTTCGTTCGCTTTTTTAGTTATCCATTCATTTATTCATTCATTCATTCATTCATTCATTCATTCATTCATTCATTCATTCATTCATTCATTCATTCATTCATTCATTCATTCATTCATTCATCCATTCATTCATCCATTCATTCATTCATTCATCCATTCGTTCATTCATCGTCTTTTGTTCGATCATATGTTTGTGCTTTCGTTTGTTCTTCCGTCAGTTTATCGTTTCATTCATTCATCCATCCATTCACTCATTCTTTCATTCATCTATTCATTCACTGTTTCTTTCTTTCATTCCATTAATATTTAGGCGCCTACCTCAAATACAGAGGCGCCATCTTTGAATGGGGCTACAAAGGAAAAAAAGATCCTATACTTGAAACCGGAAGAACATTATACGGTGATGATAATAATGATGATGGCGTCACTGATGATGATGGCGGTGCTGATAATGATGATGGTGTTGGTGATTTTGATATTGTCAGTGGTAATGTTTATGATGGTTGTAGTGATGCGCTGATGACGACGACGATGATGATAACGATGAGAATATTGATAATGATCCTTATTTTTAAAAACAGGGAACGGTACAGTCGAATATTCGTCGGTAAGTAAGTTAGATTCGGGTACATTGTATTGTACTGCAGAGAAACTGGATGGTACATCGAAAGATACATTTACACATAGCTTGATAGGTATGTATTTGTGTGTCTGTGTGTGTGTGTCGCGCGTGTGTGTATGTGTGTCTCTACACTTCTATTTTAAATGACCTACTTGTTGGTAAAAAATTAGAATTTACAATTTACATTTATAGTATTTTTATGTTTTAATCTTTACAGTATATCTAATTATAACTTCATAATTTTAAACCATCTAAACTCCTTACATTTAATTATGACATCATAATATATTTTTCTCAGTCTACACTATAGCTCAATTCTTTCTCACCTACCCGTTCGTTTACACCGTACCGATCTGCGACTCGAGGGCGAACAACAAGCAATCCGACATCATGAAGAGGTATTTAGAATTAATTTTATTTTTCATTTTAACATAACCCTGGAAATATAATTATGAAGATATAATTATATATATAATTATTTTTAGAATAATTATATTATATCATGAATAAAAACACATTATAATTTTTTAGATTATGCGCCAGTTATGGTCCGTCAAGGGATGATTGTCCGTTCAGCGCTAGGATGGAATGCTTCAGCAAAATTAACGTAGGCTCATTAATATTAATTAGTTAACACATAAATACTAATTAGTTCCTCTCTGTCTTTTTCTTTCTCTCTCTCCTCTCTCTCTCTCTCTCTCTCTCTCTCTCTCTCTCTCTCTCTCTCTCTCTCTCTCTCTCTCTCTCTCTTACTAGCTCGTTCTTTTCCGACTTAATTTTCTTGTACTTATAAGAACACTTTCTCCAAATAAAAATTGCCTGGGCATAAATAACACGTACACACACACGCACACATGCACACACGTACACACACACGTACACACACAGAAACACGGAGCATCCGATGGCTACCGGCTTCGAATCCACATCGAGCAGAGGCTGGAGAGGAACTTCAGGGCACCTAACTGCGATGCAAAGTGCATAAAGAAGGCTATTTATAACCAGCTAACTACTTCCGTAAGCATTAAATATAAGTTTTAGTTATAATAACACTATTATTATTTATTATTATATTATTATATTATTATTATTATTATTATTATTCCACGATAGGGCGACGATATAGTGAAAAAAGTAATTGACTACGAATTAAGCAATAACAACATCAACAACAACAACAATAATAATAATAACAGTAATAACGAGGCCAGCAATAAAAATCGCAACCAAAACAACAACAACAACAACAATAATAATAATAATGACAACAACAAGACAATCAGTCAGTCGATATACATCGGGTACGTATTTGATAGCGAGGAACTGATGCATAAGTCTACCCTGATAAGATGTCCCAACGGTCATCAGATATACATGCAAGTCTTATGCGGTTGGTCATGTTAATGATGATGATGATGTTGGTGATGATGACGTTGTTGTTGTTGTTGGTGGTGGCGATGATGATGATGTTGTTGGTGATGATGACGACGATGGTGATAATTTTGTTGGTGATGATAACGATGACGAAGATGATGATGGTGGTGATGATGATAGTGATTACAACAACACACAGTTCCGTGTTTTCCGGGTTTTTTCGCATTTTACGATAGCCGGTTTACAGACAAAAACTTTCCGAACGAATGCGAACCATGCGACTACGGATTTTATCAGGAGCAGTTTTCCATGGACACCTGCTACAAATGTCCGGATTTTGGGATCACCGTTAAAAGAGGATCGTCTGATTCTAAAGACTGCATAAGTTGGTCACGGTTTTTGTATGGAATTTGTTTGTTTGGCTGGTTAGTTCGTTCGTTTTTTTGCTTGTTCATTCGTTCGTTCATTCTATCATTAGCTCTTTCGTTTTTTATTCACTTATTCACTCACTCACTCACTCAGTCTTTCATTCATTCATTCATTCACCCAATAGGTCGCCATTTATCTTCTATTGAACTGTATTTGGCGGCCGCGGCTGTCTTAGTTCTGGGGCTCTCGATATCTTTGCTATGGTTATAATAATAATAATTAACATAATAATAATAATTCATCCATTCATCATTTATTCATCCATCCATTCACCATTCAGCATGGCTCAGTTTGGAATAAATGTCTTGAGGGAACGAAATAAAGAAAAATTGTTGGCAGCTGGAGTTGACATAAGGGTAAGATTGGCCGCATTTCATTTTAACATTTATCAAATAATTATTATTATTAGTGTTAATTATTACTATTAAATTATTATTATTATTAAATTATTATTGTCTATAGCATCATAGCCGTTGCCATCGTCATCGTGAATATCATCAGTTTCATCATCATCACCATACCACCATCATCGTCGTCATCGTCCTCACCAACCACAACATCTTCATCGTCATCCAGAGCGGCTATCCCGGCTTAGGCTTTCGAGCGCCACTACAACCGCCACAGCCACAACAAGCGGCAGCTTTTCTGGCGACCAACAACAGCGCCATCTCACCTCTAGCTAATAATAAATCGATAAAAACTTCCGGCAGACCGACAGCTATTAATAGCACTAAACTTACGTCACAACCTACGTCAGAGCTGACGTCAGAGCTGCAAAAGAACTACAGCAATAATCTTAAGCGTAGGCATCTGGTGGACAAAAATGTTTCTACTACTCCTAGACCGCCATTTAAAGTGTGCGAGCAGGTATGCAAAAAGAAATCAATTAAAGAGTCAATAGATAATGGACATAGTTCGTCAAACAGTCGACAATCTCGATCAATTTTAACTGACCATCCGTCTAAAAATGAATATTCATTAATTAGGCAAAAAGAACACGAATCTTTTGTTGTATTTGATAGATCATCTGGAACTACTAAACCAGGAAATGACGGTTACTCTAACTCAAATCAAAACGAAAGTAATGAAAATTCGATTTCAGATGAAGAGGAAAATGTTCAATTGTTGTCACATCCAAACTCGACGTCTGTATCTCTCGGCTCTTTGGAGTTGAGTCATTCGAAAGAAGAAGATAAAGTTAGTGCCAGTGGGGAAGGTGAGGATTCTGAAGGGTGCGAGCGCTCCGCAAGTTGCTCCATACATCTCGAAAATTACGAAACTCCTTCTGAATATTAATTAATTTTATTAGAAAATTAACTATTTTTGTTGATGTGTTGGGATTTTGTTTTGAAATTCTTTTGGTTTATTGTTTTAATTAGTTTAATATAAAATAAATAACTTGTTTAATGCAGAACAAACTGAGTTTAACAGAAATTAGATTGTGTACATGCATAAATAAAATATGTATTACATATATCAAATATACATAAATATAAAAATATATACATACATTTTTTATGCATATTCAATAGATTTTTATTTTGGACATGATTCCAGTAAAAAACTACCAGCTTAAATCATAATATCAGCTCCACATTTAAAAAAATAATCGAACTATAGTGCTAATTCTGTAATCTACATGATGTCCGATTCAAGATACTTTATACCAAAAACTTCAAGATTTCCATTAACAAAGTATACATTTTTGTACCCATGAAATTAAGAACTACATGAATCTAGTAGAAAACTACCAACCATGGAATTATATAATTCAATGCTACCAACTTAATTCATTAAATTAGCACTTCATTTAACAAAGTAATCGAACTATACTACTAGTTCTGTAATGGTAACTATTCGGTAAATTCAATAAAAAAGAAGTTCACTTTTAAACATAGTTTTGTATCTATTTTGCAATTAAAATTTTATTTAATTGAAATTAGAAGAAAGTATTTTTAATTTAAATTATTTCATATTAAAGTTTTAAAATTTAAAAATGTCTACTCATTCGACGCCTGCTTTAAACAAATCAATAAGTATGATAGAACGTAGCAAAGCCAGGTGTCCACAAATTTTTTTTGTTTCAAAATTTAATTTTTTAGAGATTCACTTATTTAATAAATTTTCTAGTATCTCAGATTACTGTAATGTTAATGTCACTTCTGTTATTACGTAGATTTTGTAACGTCATTCGTTATTGTTTTATTTTAATTTAAAAACTACATGCCATAAAAAAACAGTCAAACAAAACTGAAAACACTGACCACTGAAAATGTTGTCAAGATGCCTTTATTACATTTTATTAAATTCTAATAAATATCAAACCAAATTAATAAAATGAAAATAATTTTACTAAAATCAGTGTAAAAGTGGCCCCTGGAGCTATCATTCCTGTGGATTGTGAATTGAGAGGAGAAATAACAATAGGTAAGCGTAAGACTTATGAAGAGTAAGATCTGGAATGAGATGTCTTCTTGTTTATTTAAATTTTTTATTAGCCTATTCAAAAAACAACATGCTGTCCAGCTCCTTTCACTGTTGTTAATAATAGCTTTAAAAATTCCAAAATAATTATAATTTTGATATATAGGGAGTAGGACAGTCATTCACCCCAAAGCACGAATCATAGCAGAAGCCGGGCCCATTATCATCGGAGAGTCGAATCTCATTGAGGAGCAAGCCGAAATACTTAATTTGTTATAATTTAAAATATTTTATTATAATTAATTGTCATAATTTTTCTATTATTTTTACAATTTTATCAATAATTAACCCAAGTACTAAATTATTCACCAAAAAATCTAAGATACAAATTTTATCATATTTAGATCGAAAGATTATTTATAGATATATGGGTTAAAAGTTATTTATAGCTATCAAAAGTTATTTATATCAACCAATCAGGAACTCCGCATCACGTGAAACACCTCCACAAAATCAAACAGTCATGATCATTGGGAATCAGAATGTCTTTGAAGTTTCATCAAGTAAATAGAAATTTATAATCTTTTAATTGATTGTTAGCTTAAGTTTACTTTTAATTTATTATTATTATATAATTATTTTATTACAATATTATATTATATTATGTTTTTATTATAATTTTTTAAAAAACAGAATGTGAGGCACTGAATGTAGGTGACAATAACATCATTGAGTGCAAAGGTGTCTATTTATCAACTTGTTCATTCATTCATTCATTTCTTCATCCATTCATTCATTCATAAGATATTTGAAAAGTAACTATCTATATTTGTTGGTTTAAATTAAAAAATTCTTTTTTATTGAATTAGTTATTAATAATCTTCATCATCAGCACTATCATCATCACCATCACAATCAACATCATCGTCACTATCATCACCACTATCATCATCGTCGTCGTCATCACAGCCAGTGTAGGTCGTAATGTTGAACTGAGCAATGGCTGCATTGTTGGTCCCATGTGTAGTATTACCACTGTAGAAAGGTTGTACAAAGAAATATATATACATACATTTATATACATACATACATTCATACATACACATATGACTACATACATATATACATACACTTCTCTCTCTTTTTTTTCAATATATAATAATTGAATAAATAATTTACAATATATAATTAAATAATTATTATTTCTTTTTAATTTTAAAGATTGCCGGAGAACACGGTCATATATGGGGCAAATTGTGACAGGAGAACTCAATTAGAAAGACCTCCCGTTATTATTATTCATATTTTTAATTTATTATTATTATTAATATTGATTATTTGTTTTTATTTATTGTTGTTTTCAGCGTTTAAAATTTAAATAGGGTCATTTAGATTCTCTCTCTCTTTGGCCTGACACTCATCTACCTTTACATCTCTCACACATTAATAATATTCATAATAATGATGAATAATAATAAATAATAATTATTATTTCACGTAATAAAATATATATAACAATTACAGCCACAAACAGCCCAATTGGATTTCTTGATGAAAATTCTTCCAAACTACCATCACATAAGAAAACACGCCAGGCCTCCTCCAAAATAAATTATCCTCTCCTTACATATCATTTCTCTTTCATGCTAATTTATGTTAATGTACACGCACGCATATACGCACACACACATGTACACTTACACAGTCATACATTATGCTATGACTTTCAAATTTCACTGAATGATCCGAGCGTTTCCTTATTCTCTTTCTCTCTTTTATGTTAATTTATATTAATATCTCTTTTATGTTAATTTATATTAATATACACGCACACACACGTACGTACAAACATACGTATACATACACATAGTTTGTATGTACACAAAGCGTATTTACTTGCAAAAAGGTTTCTCCTTTAATATTATGTTATGGTTTTCATACTATATTGAAAGATAGTTAAGGTATCCATACATACGTACACACACACACGTACACACACACATTATTCAACATAATGACCGTTTTAGCTTATAAGTCTTGCATATTTAACCCACTATTATTCTAAATTGTATTTTATTGGTGGTGGTAGTTATATACATACATGCATACACGTGTATACACTCACACATATATACATACATACATGCATATATATATATATTTTGTTTTCATAATAATATAAGAAGTCAGTTTTTTCATTAATGAAAATGTTTCTTTCATCCAACCATGAGTTTCATCTGTTGGAGTAACGGATTATCTATCTAATTGACGAAGCAAGCAATTTAAAGCGTAGTTGAATGACATTCAATATTATTTTCTCGGCATTAATTTGTCGTAAAAAATTGCGGATCCGGACGCTGTATGTCATTTCAGTCTTTTAATCTTGCAAAAATACATAGGACCAAAGTTGGCCGTAACATTCGGTAAAACTAGTTGTCCTAAACTACAAAAACCCGGGTTTTCGTTAAAGTTAAAATATTCTCGATAGGCGGCCGCGAGGGGTCCAGTGTCCATTACACTAACTTCGATATTGTGATCAGTGATTAGGGATTCTATGGCCGCCCGGACCGTACCATCGTTCTGAGGGGGTGACAAAGTGCACGTACTGTATACTATGATTCCTCCAGGCTTGCAGGCTTTTACTGCTGAGCTGAAAGTATTTATCATTAAAATTATTAATTGTTATATTTTAAATATTCGTATTTTTCACATTATTATTTGTATTGCTTTGTCATTATCTAGAAAATAGTACGTGTATATATATATATATATATATATATATATATATATATATATATATATATATAAACTTCATTAAATATTTTTGCCCATTTTGCGTTGATTAGTTCTTTACCAATAGATTAAACATTTCGTATTTGGGTTAAATCATATTTATTAAACAGTTGTGTCATAGTGCGGCTTACAACGTTGTTTCGGCGTGAGCGCTATCTTCAGAGCCTTAAGTAATATATTTTTATACATTAGAGTATGTTGGATAATTATAAAATAATACATTCTCACGGTAATAATAATAATAGTAGTAATATAAACAAAAACACAAGAGAAGCGAGGCGAACATGAGAAGTTGTTGTTGCTGCTGTTGCAGTAGCAATCTTTCAGCCTGCCTGCTACTTTTGAACCAATTATTCTCGTCCTCTGTTACTGAGTGTCGATCGTTTAAGCACGGCACGTCTGCAAGAACCTGAGAAACAACAAAATAATAATTATTGTCGTTGTCGTGTATTATTCGTTTAATCATTCATTCATTCATTTATTTATTCGTTCATTCACTTATTCATTCGTTCTTTTATTCATTAAACAAAGTAACCAACCAATGGTCGTTCTTTTTATCTTTCAATTATTTATCCATTCACTCCACTAATCATAAAACTAACCACCAACTTATACTTATTCTTTCAGTTATTTGTTCATTCATTCTTTCATTCATTTTCTCACTCATTCATTCCACAAACCAACCAACTAACTGACCCTATCAAATGAGTTTTCGTGGAAAAACCCAAAATTCATGGCATCAGCAACTTTTACTTTCACTTTCTCACTTTCTATGTAATCTCTTGGAAAGTACAGGCGTAATGTGTCTTTTAGTCTGACCATTCTATTGTAAGATCTATCTAAACACATAATTGTGTCTGAGAAGTTTTGAGAAAAATGAAAACCAATAGACATGATCAGGAATTCAAATCTAGCTCAAATTTAGAAGAGAAGGCATGTTACAAAGATCACAAAATTGTCAACAAGAAAGAAGATTCACACCCAAAAAAAGATCATAAACAGACCTGGTAACATAGTTTGCAACATGGCGTAGGTTTTTCCACCTGGGGCTGCACACAGGTCTAAAACTGAACAGTTAGGGAATAGGTCTAATGCTAATGTAGGTAATATGGAGGCAGCATCCATAAGGTAGTAAGCTGTTGATGTTGTTATAAATGATGTTATTGTTGTTATTACTTTATATTATTGTTATATTTATAATAATTATTATTATAATTATTAAATATAACTATTATTAACATATTTATATTATTAATTTGTTTTTAATTAATTTGTTAATCATTTAAATTAATTTAAAAAGAAAAACTACCCCTAATCAATCTTTAACTAACATAGTTTTCCTGATTTTTTATCCATCTTTGCAGGTCTGAATTTACTCACATCTCCCCGGTTATATATAACGGCTTTTAATTTTTTAGGGATGTGCTGTAATGTTGCATCGGGCGAAGATGGGATTATATCAAAATAATTATGCTTATTAATGGCTAAATTATAACAATTATTATTGATAACTTCATTGTTATTTGTCGTCATTGCATTTTGTTCATATTCTAACTTATGAAGTTTTTCCCTCTCTGATAAAATTCGCTTGGCAGGCATAAATGAATGCAAATCAGATTTTGATGATACCAATCGACTCTTCCTAGATGCTGATGTTGCAATTTGATCTTTAACTCCGTCATTGTCGTCACAATAATTACCATCTTCACCCACCATATCATCAACATTATGTGCCTCAGTTGCATGTATATCGCTGAAGTTAGTATTTCCATCATTATTATTTTCACTTTGTGAGTTTGAGAGACTGAATTTTCCATTGTAAGGTGACGTTGTATATTTCCACCTCCCAACGAAATCAAATCCGCCATTTTCGGCCAGCTCTAACAAATACTGATCTAAATCTTCGCAAAAGTTATTCAATACGGCGCAGTATTTGGGCTGAGATAGGAGAGCCAAGCGTATGGAAGGCCATCTGTCGGCCAACTTTTTACCAATGTGAAAATCATAGTGGTTTAGTGCTAGTTCTGTAGATGGCTTGGCAACGCGATTTGATGCCTAGTTAGTGAAAAATTTAGGATAAAAAATAAATACAGAACTTAGTAAATTTTGTAATAAAAATCTTGTAATTTTGTTGGTTGTGTACTTAAATTCATCATAAGACAAGTCATCATATAACTATTATAAAACATAATAACGTAATGGTAATGATTTTAAAATATTTTCATAAAAGTTAATAACTGAAAATTGAACAAACCCATTTTTTCTTATACTTAAAACGTTTGGCTGTAAAAATTAGTGAAAAAGTGTTCAATTTATTCAGTAACAGTTTATTTACGGAAAACATGCCTTTATTTATTGAAACTTAAAATCAAACATAATATCGCTCAGTAAACAGTAGAACAATAATTCAAAGATTTTCTGAAAGGCCGAACAGCTATTATACACAACCACATATATACACATAGCTAGAACAAAAAAACATCCAATAAAATTTATAAAACAGGATGGGTATATCGTTGCGAAATCGTTGGGGGAATGACGTCATGTTAACAGTAGTTATTTTACTGCATGGTAGTTAATCTCAGCCGTTATAATGGTTATTTTCAATTCCTATCAAATAAATTTGACCAAAAATCAAGTCTCCAAATCTCCTCCGAAAGTAAGCTGCTTGTTCGACCGTTAAAAGTTAGAGAAGGCCGTTATATTTATTCTAGTTATGTGGTATATTTATTTCGGAATATTGTTTTTATTTAAAATGTTTTAATGGGTTTTAAATTTAATTTTTTTTAACTATTATTCAGTTTGGCAATTAATTACTTTTATTTGGTATAAATTTAAAGAAATAAAATCGACATTACCGAAAATAATTGAAAGTTGAAAAATTTGAGGTTCTTTGCATATCACTGCTTCAACCCATAAGAGAGTGTTGTATATTGGTAAATAGGCCTCCCCTTATATAACAAATCCACGTTTCAAATGGAATAAATTATAAAATATAACCACGAATTGACTTTAAAAAAACTGTATACAACAAAACGAAACCTAGAACCATCAATAATAATGAACTTTGATAATGAATTACAGTAATAATTTTCTGAAATAATTAAAGTTGAAATACATAAAAAAAAGGAAGGATAGATAAACAATGGAAAATTATCCTAACACATTACCCAAAACCACATAATTAGAATGAAAAAAACGCCCAAAAACTCAAAACTGGCGCTACAAAAATGACAAATTACCAGCTGATAATTATAGTTACGTCATCATTACGTCACAATTATAGTTAATAATTTTAACGCTATTGTATAAGCAATGATAACGCATTTTTTACAGCACTGTTACCAGAAAATACAACATCAAAATTATAATTATTAATGAAATAGAAATAATAATAATACAATAATAATAAGTAGAACGCAGGTACATTGATACATTTCAAGTTAGAAGTTGACACAACAACCTATAATGTTTAAACAGCTGCTGGTAAATTGCAACACGTGTGAATGTTGCGTATGTAGTATTATTAATTTGTCTAAGCAGTTTATACATGAATCCATGTATGTATGTATATGTGTGTATGTATGAACCCGTTTTGATGAACAAGCCATGGTTAGGCATGCAATTGTTTCCGAGTGTGTATGTGTATGTATGTATGTGTGTACGAGTATGTATGTATGTGCGAGTGTATGTGTGTGTTGTGTATGTACAAATACTTGTACTTAAATAATGAACAAAAGTTATAACACAAGGTGACTTAACTGCCAATCTATATACAATACACATAACACATACATACATATATACATACATACATATATACATACATACATATATAAATATTCAAACATACAAACACATACACAAACAAGCGCATTTATAAACACACAGGTACGCAAACAGAGACATTAAAAGTATTCAGACCAGGGATTATCCTTAATGTATTTATCTAGAACCTCCTTCATGGCCGCATTTGGAATCAGCTGATCAAAGGACAGAGGACAGCGCGTAATTGGGTCAAAGTGACCTACTTTCTTGAATTTGTGAGAAAAAAATGTATATATTTGAAAAATTAAACTGAAATAATGCAATTGATAACTTTGTTGAATGAAAAAGGAAAATTCATTCAGAAAATTTCAAAAAGGTAAGACGTCAAGCATGATAAAAATTATGTAACAAAATAGGGTTAGAGAAAAAAGTGAAGTCAAAAGACTCCAGCACAAACAAACGAACGAATGAACAAACAAATGAATGAACAAACGAACGAATGAACAAACAAACCAATAAATGTTCTTCTATGTCCCTCCTATCATACGTTATTCCCCCTGGTGTTATAACGGGATCTCTAATTAGTTCAAAACTTATTTTGCCACACATCACATCTGGAATATTCCTGTTCTAAAATAGAAGAAATAAGGGTTAGGGAAGACTGTATGTATATATGTATGTATGTTCGTATGTATGTATGTATGTATGTATGTATTTATGTATGTATGTATGTTAAAACCAAATCATTGACGAATGACACCAAAAGCCAAGCGTCTGACTAAATTTGATTTTATTTGCTATAACGTCACTCAACCCCGTCGGCATTCAACTCCACATTTTCCAACACACAGTATGTATGTATGTATGTATGTATGAATGTATGTATGTATGTATGCATGCATGCATGCATGTATGTATGTATGAATGTATGTATGCATGCATGCATGTATGTATGTATGTATGTATGTATGTATGTATGTATGTATGTATGTATGAATGTATGTATGTATGTATGTATGTATGTATGTATGTATGTATGTATGAATGTATGTATGCATGCATGCATGTATGTATGTATGTATGTATGTATGTATGTATGTATGTATGAATGTATGTATGTTTGTATGTATGTATGTATGTATGTATGAATGTATGTATGTATGCATGCATGTATGTTTGTATATGGATGGATATGGATATATATATAATAAAGAATGAACAAACATTTTTCAAGATTTCTGCTTTTTTAAACAAATCTGTCATTTCTGCTCTCATTCTTTTCTGCATAACCAATTAAATAAATGAATGAATAATTTAAAAAGTTAATTAATTAAATTAATTAATCAATCAACAATCAATCAAACAATCAATCAAACAATCAATAAATTGACAAAAAACATCAACTAACATATTTTTCAAGTATTTTTTCTCCCTCTGCCCCATCTGTGACTGCTGACAAATATCTGAAGGAAACGAAAAAATAAAAATTTTTATAAAATAAATACTGTGATGATAATTCATCAATAAAAAAAATATGGACCAATCCTAAACACAATTGAAAATCAATTAGCCAATCAAAAATAAAATTAATCAACCAGACAATTTTATCAACCAATAAGAAAAAGCCAAATGTGCCAGCAGACCAATCAGAGCAAACCTTTCTTTTTTTTCCTCTAAAAGCCTTGAAAGTAATGTTTGTAATTCGGTGATGGATTTGTATTCTGCTTCCTCATTGGCTAGAAGTTTTCTCTTCTTGGCCAACCTCAGAAGCGTATGTATTTCGTCCGTGTAACAGTGCTTTTGATTGGATGCTAGGTCATTAGCTGTAAGAAAAACCAAAAATAGAATATGATTCAAATTAAAAAATTATTTTTAATTTATAATAAATGACTACAATTCATAATATTTTTTGCTGTTGAAAAAAAAATTTCAAAAGTTGAAAAAATTAAAAAACAACCTTTTGTTAATGATGCAATTGATTCATCATACATTCTCATCTCCATCAGTGCTTGACCCATATATAGATAACCTTTCACCTGTTTAATTCCATAACTCTACTTTAATCATTATTTACAATTATAGATTTTGAAAAATAACTTAGATTATTAAAACTTATTTAATTATTCTCAATTATTACACAAAAAAAAACATGGCCAACTTTATTGGGGTCAAGGTCAATGGCGATTCTGCAATCCTGGCAGACGAGTGTCCACTGTTTAAGGTTGAGATTACAAAGTGCTCTGTTAGTGTAAAATGCTGCCATATTTGGGTTTAGATCCTTAACGTGTAAAAAAGAAAAACATATTTTAAAGATTCTGATTAAATACAAAATCTATATTATATAGAAACCTATTATGATATTTAAATAAATTATCAAATTTATCAAAAAAAATGAAAAATTTAATGACAATGGCTTTTGTGTAGCATTTGATGGCCTCTGGAAACTTCTTAGCAAAAAAAAACTTGTTGCCTTTTTCTTTTAAATCGTTGGCGTTGAAGAACGGCTTGACAAACACCTTACTTTTCCTAATGGACCCCATCACATCACAGATATGTATTAGTTGGGCAATCAATTTTTAGAAAGTGAATAAAACTTTAAAAATTTAATCTTTAAGAACTGTTAGGAACATGACGATAGTACAAAATTAGATAAAAATAATTAATCCATGAAAAGTTTTTTATCAATTTTCTACATAGTTCGACTTTTAACGAAGTTTACTTTTAAGTGAGAAAAAATTATTAAATCTCCTAGCGCTATGTATAAACAATTTAAATCGACACCACCAGTTAACGAAGTATGTCACTGAAAATTACGCCATAAAATATTACTACAGAACTGCACTTGTCATAATAAAGTTACTTTTAAGTTAAAATATTTTAAATAAATGTAATACATCGCTACAAATAAAATAATTTCATAATAGATATAATTAAACCAGCTTTCATATGTTTTTTTTTTCTAATAAAAATCGTTTTTCACTGACTCAAAAAATACTTTAAAACTCGATTAAGTTACAACCATAATTTGATAGAGTGGAAAGAGATTTCTAATAGATAAACAATCAAACGCACTAACTTATGGAGAAAAGATTACTTAACAATTATTTACTTTATACTATATACAGGGAACTAAACAATCTAACAACTACTGGAAAAATTGCATGGAACAGAGATCGAATAACATCCGTGAAGTCCTTGTGTCACTGGTTGAATATTACCACATTTCAACTCT